AAAAAAAAAAAAAAGAAAAAAAACAAACACACACTCTTGTAAGTACATATTTACTGAAGTTGATCCGCCATACTTTCTATACTACTTTTTAAGTGCTCGACTATTTAATATATGAATTTATTTATAAGTTTATAAAATATTAAAAATTTATTTTTGAAGGTTTGCAATTGACTATTTAATATATTAGTGCATTTATAAGTATAAAATATTATAAATGCTAAAATTTTAAATATGATAATTGTATACTAAATTAGTTGCATGTGCTTATAGAATTGTCTATTTTCTTGCTCCTATTTTTTTATTTTTTTAACAATCCATAATTTGCAAATTTTTTTAAGTTTAACTCATCAATTTTACTTCAAACTCAGAACTCGGTAACTCACTTACCGATAGTACGGAGGCAGGCGTCTTCTCTTCTGGTGAGCTTGCCTATTCCTATTCCTATTCCTATTCCAAAAGTTGGATGAATTTTATTCATTTGACCCGACGAGTTCCATCCTGTGTGGATAGTTCCTCCCTTCTGTTAGGGTTTTTTTCGTTCCATCTTGTGTGGATTTCCGTTTCCTTTGTGTTCCCTTCTTGTTTTCATCTTTAGTGTTAGGGTTTGTTTCATCTCCTTCTCTGCGTTTCACTCTGTCTTTTCTTCCTTAAAGTTATCATCCAGTGTGTGTTTTGTATATTTTGGGGGTTAATTAGGGTTTGGAGTCTATGTTCATCCCTTCTTGTTTTGTTATTTTGGGGGTTAATTAGGGTTTCGAGTCTATAGTTCATCCCTTCCGTTTCTAATTTCCAATTTGTGCAGGTTGATTGAGACTTTGTTCATTGCGGATTAGATGGAGAAGGATATCATCGATAAGCTTCATCAGTTTCAGTTATCGGATAAAGAGAAAAGGGGAGTTGATGTAGCAGACTCAGATATTGAACCTGGTATCCAGAAATGCTCTCAGTCTTATTGGGAAAATAGTGGGAGAGAGGAAAGCTAGTGTTGGAGGAATAAGGGCAACAATGGGGATGGTGTGGAGAATGGAATGTTCCTTCTCAGTTCGATTAATTGAGCCAAACTTGTTTCAATTTCTGTTTCAAAGCGAAGAATATAAATTGAAAGTCCTCCAGGGTAAAGCCTAAACTTTCGATGGCCAATATCTCTTGCTGAAGGAATGGAGGAAAGGCGAGTTAGACTTCACAGCAGCAGAGCTGAAAGTAGATTTGTGGGTCCAAATCCATGAACTACCGCTTCATTGGATCTTAGCTGAAATAGGTGGCAAGGTAGGGAGACTCTTCAACAAAGTTTTAGATGTGCAACTTCCAGGTGAAGGAGGCAACAATGACAAAATAGTTCGGATCTTAGCTGAGGTTAGTGTTGCAAAACCTATTCCTAGAGGTACAATTCTTAAACTTGATAAGGAAGAGCATTGGGTGGAAGTGAAATATGAAAGACTCTTGTCCTTTTGTTTCTATTGTGGCAAAATAGGACATAGTGACAGGCTCTGTGAAGATAAAAAAGCTGATTCACAAAATGATGTCATAAAATTTGGGCTGTATGGGGATTGGTTGCGTGCTCCATTGGGGGGTTTTGGGAATTTTCGAGAGAGAAAATCTAATAGCCCACCTAGGGTTAATCAGCTTTCTGCAGCTAGTCAAGCTGTAAAAGAGGGTATGGAAAAAGGGGGACCTGGTTTTGAGAGGGGTAACATTCTGATTAGAAGTGAGGAAGAGGAAAAAGTTGAGGGGAAGGGAGGGGAAGAGATACAAAATATGCCTGTGAG